GGTGCCCGCCACACCCCACACATCAGTGGAGGCTGGCGAAGCTCCCCCTTGGCACCGACGCCTTCTTCCTGGTGTGGCACTACCTTGAGGGGACAGTCACTTCTCTGGGCTGGGTCACCTCCCCCACAAGTGTGTGGGTAGGGCCCAGCTTCCCCCACAGAATGCAGGACCCTCCCTCTCTGTGTGGGGGCTTCCATTGGCGGACAGGCCCTGGGGGCTCTGGGCCTCCAGGCAGTTCTAGCCGGAGCCCCCCTGGCTGAGCGAGCAGAGCTGTGGAGTTGGGGCTGGGCACCATGGGCAGGCCTCTGGAGAGCGGACGTGAAGCAGGTGGCATCCACTTTGCCAGGCTTTGCTTCTGTCCTTGATCGTCCTGAGGAGGCTGGGTGGGGAGAGGCAGGCCGTCACTCACTGTCCCCTTGAGTGGCAGGACCTGACGGTCTGAAGGGGAAGGTGGGCTGTAGCTGGCCCTCAGGAGGGGGAGCCCGGGGTCCCTGTGCTGCCCTGGGCCCTGGCCCTGCGTGTGCCGCTGCCCAGGCCTCCAGGCAGAGCGCCGTCTCGCTGGCGTGGGGCGGGGGCCGCCACTCACTGGGCTCTCTCCTCTCAGCATCATCAGCTGGTTCGTCCGGTCCTTCAAGTACGCGTACGGCCTTCGCTTTGAGATGAAGGGCCGCCAGAAGCTGGAGGTGAACCACCCCTGCGTCATCATTTCCAACCATCAGAGCATCCTGGACATGATGGGTAGGCCCGGGCCCCCCGGGGCCTGGCAGGAGGGCCACAGACACTGCCCAGTCCCCGCAGTGGGGGGACACTTCAGGGAGGCGGAGGTGGGCCCAGGTGAACTGGCTGGTGAGGACACAGGCTAGGGGGACCTGTGCCTCCCTCTGCCACGGGCTTTGGCCTGGGTGATGAGCTAAGAGGCTGAGTGTGCCCAGCGCTGGGCACAGGGCTCTGCCACACACCCTTGTAGCCAGAAGCTTGGTTTCAGCACCCTCCCTTTAGGTGGGAAACTGAGGCTCAGAGGCCAAATTTGACTTGCCCGGGTAGCCAGGGGAGGGGTGACTCGGCCCAGGCCCACTGCTGGTCAAGGCCCAGGGCCAGCTCCCTCCTCCGGGAGGTGACCCCTGAGCTCTGAGGCGCTTCCCTCTCTCTGCCATGCTGTCCGGCGGCCACCTGCAGGCCTCATGGAGGCCCTGCCCAAGCGCTGTGTGCAGATCGCCAAGCGGGAGCTGCTCTTCCTGGGGCCGGTGGGCCTGATCATGTACCTTGGTGGCGTCTTCTTCATCAACCGGCAGCGCTCCAGTACCGCCATGACAGTGATGGCCAAAGTGGGCGAGCGCATGGTCCAGGAGAACGTGAGTGCCGGGCTCAGGGCCGCTCGGCAGCGGAGACACGCCGGTGTGAAATGGCCTGCGGTCTGGCTTCCTCTGGGCAGAGCAAACCCATCGCTCGTGTGTCTGCAAAGTGCAGACAGGGAGTCGAGGAGCAGCTCCTCAGCTGTCAGCGGGGGCGGAGGACAGGGGGGCTGCCGCAGCAGAGAAAGGAGCTCTTAGGCGGGGTGGGACGCAGCCTCCCCAGGGTGACCCCCACCGCAGCGGCCTCCGTCTCGCCTGTAGCTCAAAGTGTGGATCTACCCAGAGGGCACGCGGAACGACAACGGTGACCTGCTGCCTTTCAAGAAAGGTGCCTTCTACCTGGCCATTCAGGCCCAGGTATGCCAGGGCTTCACACTCCTGGGCAGCAGGGAAGGGGGAAGTGGGTGCAAGGTGGCTTAAGGCCGAAGGTGACCCCCCTGGCCAGGCTAGGGCCACTGGCACTAGGAGGCCACCTCCTCCTGGTAGGGGACGGGACCTCACTTCCCCGGTGGCACCTGGTCCCTGACCTGCTAAGGAGAGCAGTCCCTTGGGCCCCTCGCTCTGGGCATGAAGGCTGGTGCCGTCAGGCCCAATGACCAGCTGGGAGAATGTTGGGCATCACTACCTGTGCCTGGAGCCCCCCACTGTCTAGCCCAGGGAGGCGGAAGGCCGAGGCAGCTGGCCTCCTGCTAGGCTCTTAGGAAGGCTGTACTCTGTCCTCGCCGGCTCCCCAGCACCCCTGGCTGGGGCGAGCTTTGGGAGTGGACGACAGTGGTGCTAATGCCAAGGGGGTGCGGGAGACGGGGTGGGGGGAGGGAGCCCTGTGCTGGGGTCAGGAGACCTGGGTCCTGACCAGCAGGGCCTGTGGCCTGGAGCAGGATCAGGCTAGAGCCGGAGAGCGGCCTTTGTGGAGCAGAGGACTTTATATTTTTGTGCTCCTTGACCTCTGGAGGTGCAGTTTGTCCCAGAGGAGTCCTGGGGTCTGCGGGAGAGGCTGGGGGTGCATCCGTCCCCACGGCCAGGTCTTCTAATGGGTGAAGGGCACCCTCTTCCACCCCTGGGATTGTGCTGGGGGGAATTCAGGAGCAGAAGGCCAAAGTCTGAGGTCAGGGGAGAGGGCTTTCATCCTGCCCATTTGGGGTCAAGGTGGTGGCTGGGCAGGAGCCTGCTTTTCTCTGCTTCCCCCGGACAGGTGGCCTCTAGTGCCCCCTGGTGGTGGCCCTCAGTAGGGCCGGGTGAGCCTGCCTCGAGGTTCCCCTGCTAATGAATGCCAAGGGCGTGCGGGAGACAGGGTGGGGGGAGCCCTGTGCTGGGGTCGGGAGACTGGGTCCTGATTCGGCCCTGCCCAAGCAAGGCTGTGCACCGCCTGGGGCTGAGGCCCCTCTATCCAGGGGACGGAGGGCACCCCCGCCACACACCCCAGTGTGCTCTCACTGCCCTCTGCTAGTGTTCCCAGGCAGGAGCCACAGAGAGGGGAGAGGAGACCCAGAGGCGGCCCCGTGGAGCTGGGGCAGCGTGGCCTCAGCCAGGAGACGGATGTCACGCCCCCCCCTCTGTCTCCCCGCTGGGTCGGCTAGACGGCAGCCTGCCTGTTTTCAGCTCTGAGCCCTCCCAGTCCTCTGCTGGTGCCAGGGAGAGGCTCTGGGTGACCGCCAGAGTTAATGGTCACCCCCAGGCATCGCCCAGGCAACTTGACCCTGGCATCTTCCAGGAATACCAGCAGGCACTGCCTTCCCCTCCCCAGAGCCACCCCCAGCTCCCCTGGGATGGGGGAGAGGTTAAGAAGGGCCAGGTCGTCGAAAACACCTCAGTGACCTCCTCCCTCTGGACTAGATGGGGCCTCAGCCCCTTGGGTAATCTTAGGACCCAGCAGGGACACAGGTGTGAACCAGGTGGACATGTGCTGCTACAGGAAGGCTTCCTGGAGGAGGGGGTGCTTAAGTGAAGATGTGCAGGACAAGGTTTTTATGGAATTCTTGGCGACCCAGACATGAAGGGTGTCCCAGGCCCAGGGGGCAGCCACAGGGCCTCCTGGGGCCCCCTCAGGTTCTGTGGGCAGCCCCAACGCAGGGACAGGCAGCAACTTGCCCTGGGGAATCAGGGCGGGCAGGGTGGGCTGCAGCAGGCCTCAGGCTGCCCGTGTCTGCCCAGGTGCCCATCATCCCCGTGGTGTACTCCAGCTTCTCCTCCTTCTACGACACCAGGATGAGGCGCTTCACCTCAGGTACCCCCCACGACCTGCGCACCTCCCTTTTCTGGCTGGTGGCTGTGGGCCAGACCCCTGCTGCCCAGCGACAAGTGGGGAGGGAGGGGAGGAACCTAGAGGCCTGGCTAGAGGCTCTGGAGCCAGGGAGTGGTGGTGGGCCCATTTCCCCAGTAGGGAGACCGCAGCCCCTGGAGGACAGGCTGGGGGCCCGAGTGCCTGCACTTTTGGCCCCCCAGCATCCCAGGCTGACACTCCCCCACCCCCAACAGGAACGGTCCAGGTAGAGGTGCTGGATGCCATCCCCACCCGCGGCCTCACTGTCGCTGACGTCCCCAAGCTCATGGACACTTGCCACCAGGCCATGAGGACCACCTTCCTCCATATGTCCAAGATACCCCAGGAGAACGGGGCCACTGCAGGGCCTGGTACCCTGCCAGCCCAGTAGCCAAGGCCTGGGTGGGGCGGGCTGGGGGTGGGCAGGTGGGGGCAGGACCTGCTCGGGAATGGACAGGGGGACGCGCTCCCCACCCTGGCTGCTGGATACCACTGCATCCTGTGCCTCCCCCAGCTTTTCGTCTGGGCCCCAGAAGCAGGGGGCCCTTCCTGTCACTGGCCTCAGATCCAGGCCCCTGATGCCCTGAAAAGGAGAGTCAGCTGGAACCTCCCCAAGCTCTGAGGATGGGACCCACCCATCCTTGTGCCTCCAGGATCTGGGTGTAGGGGCAGGCCTGGGGCCTCAACAGGCTGAGTTGCTTAGTCCCCAGACAGCCAGATCTGGGCCCTCTCGCTGCTGCCTGGGCCCACGGGGAGCAGAGGCTGGCCCCAGCCCAGGCACGGCCTGCATCAGGCTCTCACGGACAGCCAGGGCTCGGGGGGGCCAGGGTGTCCCCGTGTCCTGCAGCCCGGGCCTCAGGGCACCCCTGGTGCCGGCCTTGGGGAGTGAGGCAGGGCTGGCACTGTACTTGTCGTTTTATAAATGAACTCTTGGAACTGCCTGGTGGGCTGTGGTCACACAGGGTAGGGAGGGCGGCACAGCCCGGCAGCCCTGGGGTCTCTGAGGCTGCCCCCATCTCCTGCTCCTTTGGAGGCCGTGTAGGAGCCCCCGAGTCCCCGCCCTGCCGCACTGCACCCTTCCAGGGCCCGAGACATCTGTAATGCTTTCTTCAGTGGGTGGGGATGTCTGCCTGATTGCGGTTGGTGGGCATGCTGGGGATCTGGTGGGCACCAGGGCAGGAGCTGAAGATTTGCCCTTCGGCCACTGGGTGGAGGTGGTCAGCTTGTCACCAGGAGTGGGCTGTGTGTGACCAGGATCACCTTCAGAAACCACCTGCTCCCTGCTCAGTGGGGGTCCTCTCCCTCCCACCAGCCAGCATGTTGGGGAGGGGTGGGGGAGGCCCTGTCAGCTTCAGATCGCCCCCCAAATCCATCCACAGACACAGTGCTCCTGAACTCTGATTTTACTCCAGCAAAGATCAGAGGTCCCTCCCCATGCTGACCGGTGAGCCGCTCAGGCGCGGGCTCGGGGCAGGGAGCCCTCGTACCTTCCCCCAGAGCTGGGGGTGACGGCATTCACACCGTGGAGGACCTGCACCCGACTCTGCCCTGTGCAGGGACCCCTTGGGTTAAGGAGAGGGGGCGCCCTCCCCTGCTTGGCTCACAGTCCCCACAGTCAGGGGAGGGAGGGCGAGGAGACAGAGTCCATGGGCTGCTGGGAGCCGACGCCAGGGGCCCGGGCCAGGCCAGTCACAGCTCCTTCCCGCAGGAACCTGCAGGTGGGTTGGGCTTGAGGTCAGAGGTCATTGCTCCTCGCCACCTTCCAGCCCAGCCAGATCTGCCCCCTAGGCCTGTGGCGGCCTGGCCTTCCCTCTGGCCTCTGGGGGTGGGGGCCGCAGCACTCACAGGACCCCAGCTGCTCCTCCAGGAAGGAGATCTGCTCGCTCAGAGAGTCGATGCGGTCCAGCTGCTGGAAGGAGTGGGCCAGCAGGCTGCCAGGGTCCGGGAGCCCGTGCTCCAGGGCCCGCGAGGCCAGGCTGTGCAGCGGGGCCAGCACTAGCTGCAGCTTCTGGGGCGGGCAGAGGGCCGGGGGGTGGGGAAGGGCCTGTGAGGCGGCCCCACCCGGCTTTAAGGACGGACACCTGCTGCGGACGTTGAGGCTCTGCCAACCCCACCCGGCTCTAGCTGCAGGCCCCGGGATGTCCACCAGAGGGAGCCTCCGCGTCGGGAGAGCCCGGGGAGGGTGGGCTCAGTCGGACCTCACGCAGGCCAGCCTGGCGGACGGCCCCCAAGGCCTGCGCTCCCAGGTCAGAGGAGCTAGGAAGGGTGCCCCAGAGTTTCCGGGGGGGCATCAGGCCAGTGGCCACATGGGGAGGCTAGAGGAACAGTGTGGGGTGGGCTGCACCTGGGGTCAGGCTCTGTAGGGCCCTAGGGAGGGGGCTGAGCGCAGCCCTCTTCTCCTGGGGGTCCTAGTCATCCCTCTGTCCGTCATGGAGACTCCCTCCCCAGGGCACCCCACTGAACCCCACAACTACCCCAGGGGACAAAAGGGCCCCAGCCAAGGCCTCACCTGCTCCAGCAGGTCCACTCTTGACCGCAGCCTCTGCACTTCCTCCTCCACCTGGCCGTCCACTCCTGGGGAGACCCCAGTGCTGAGTCGGGGCCAGGGTCCCCACACCCAGGCTGGTCCCTTACCCCAACAGGTCCCAGTCTGCTGCGGGTGGGGGGCACAGTCCTGGGGACTGGGGATCAAGCTCCCACTGCTGTGGTGAGCCCCCTGCCCGATTCTGGGCCCCGGCTGTCCACCAAGACCGGCCCGGAGGTCTGGGGGTGGCCCTGTGGACACAGCCCAGCTCCACGGCCCCTGGGCGCCGGGTCCGCACTGTGCTGGCTAAGCCAAGGTCCGTGCCGCGCTCTCGGTGCTGGGCTGCCGACGGCGCATTATTACTCACGGTACGAGTTTGAAGTGTCACAGCGCGTACCAAAAGTAATAATGTCCCGTCGCCAGCGAGGTGCGGTGTCTCCAGGCTGCCCGGCGGCACACAGACAGACCCCCGGGTAGGGACGTTCCTCCACTCTCTGTGCTAATAAGATTAGCCCCCAGCCGCCACCACAGCCCTCCCTGAAGTGCCCTTGAGAAACCACCCCCATCCTTCCTCGGTGCCAGGGCTCCACCCGTCTGCGGTGGGGGGCTGGCCCGCAGCTCCTGGACACAGGCTCAGCCCCACTGTGGTGGGGAGCCTCTCCCCCGATTCTGGGCCCTGGAGGTCCTCCCACCAAGAGGTCATCGCAGAGCTATAGGGTAAGGCCGCCAGCGTGCCCTGCCCCCACCTGCCCATCTCCCCAGGTGCAGGAGCAGGGGCCAGGGGCAAGCACTGAGGTTACCTGTCCTGGGGCTTGGGGCCACCCTGGGAGTCCCTCTCCTGGGTGAGCAGAGCGTCCCGTCCGCAGCTGGGCTGTACCCCTCTGGACACTGGCACCAGTAACTGCCCACGGTGTTGACACAGCGCTGGGGACAGCTGCCTCCCCCAGCGCTGCATTCATCCACATCTGTGGGATTGGGGAAGGGGCATCAGGCAGGCAGTAGTGCCACACTGGCACTCAAGAGCTCCTTTAAGGGCCCTCCAAGCAGTGCCCAGAGGGCCCTTCCCCTCAAGGACAGCAGGACCCAGCCTCACCTGTCTGGCAGGTGCTGCCCCGCCACCCGGCAGGGCAATGGCAGCGGCCGGGCTGGACGCAGCTCCCTCCGTTCTGGCAGGGTGGCTGGCATATCGCTGTGGGGATGGGAAGGCCTGTCACCAGCCCAGGAGGGTCCCCGTCGGGTGGCAGCCATGCAGCAGGGAGGCCCCCCCCCCGCCAGGCTGCCACGTCAGCCACCGGCAGCGCCGGGCCGGGCGCCCTCACCTGCCCCGCAGGCCCCCGGGAGCCCGGTGCTCCTCTTCCAGCCGGGGCAGCAGGCGTAGCGAGGCCTGGCGGGGGCCGCCCCGGGGCTGCGGCGGTAGGCAGTCCTGTAGATGGTCCTGCGGGTGTGGGGGCACTTCAGATAGGGCTGCGCCTCTCTGGGTGGCCCGGTAGGTCTCCTGGGCCCATATCAAGTGTTCTACAGACACGCTGAGTAACACACCCCCTGCCCTCCCCATCCAACCGCCTCCCAGGCTGGCTTGGTCCCCGCGCCCTCCAGAAGCCAGGTAAGCCATGACCCCACTCAGTATGTCCCCAGAGACCCTGCTCCATACTGCGGTGTTGAGTGGGGACCCCGAGGCTTGTCAGGAAACCCCAGCTGTGTGTGGCAGAGGTGACCCCTGTACCCAGACATGCCAGCCCAGCAGGCTTCCTACTCTAGGGGAGGCGGATCTAGACCCTGAGGGAAGGCGCTTGCCAGGCCCACAGCAGGTCCAGCTGGCCCCTGGAGTTCTTTACCTGCCTTCCCTCCCCACCCGAGGGTGCTCTCCCAGCCCAGTGCTCAGACTGCTGGTTCAGGAGCCACTGGGAACTTCTGAAATCCTGACTTCTAGGCCCTCTTCCCCACGCAGGCAGGGTGGGGCGCCCTCATCAGGGCTTTACCACCCCCCGCTTTGGCCAGCAATCACTTTGCAAAATTTCAGCACGTTTCTGGCTGGGGAAAGAAGGCTGAGCTGTAGGGACACAGGCATGAGGCCCTGCCCCACACAGGGCATGCGTCTCAGGGCCCCAGCTTGGGCCCCACACACACTGTCCCCAGCCCTCTACCTTCTCAGCCGGGGGTAAGGGATGTCCCACCAGGGAAGCCTTTTACCTTGTAAAGGCACTTTACTGTAGCTGAGAAAAGGAGACACCCCTCCCACTGGCAGTTAAGCTGCTCTGATGTCCAGAGCATTTCGGGGGTATTGTTGCCATCTATGACTGTTGGGAGCTGTCACGGGGAGAGGGGTGCCCACTGTAGTCCCAAAAGCACGAGCAGGACGACTGAGGTGTCAGGGAGGTAGGCATCACCCCGAGTGGATAAGAGCTTATAACCTGCAATGCCAGGCAGGGACTAAGTGCCCCAAAAATGGAAGGGAGTAGGCATGATGGGCAACTCCCCCTGAAAGTGAGGGTGGGGAGCAGATGCCCTGGGTGCCCTTGCAGGGAGCCAGACGAGGACAGCCACCCACTCAGCGTGGCCTCCGCAGGTTCTTTGACCACTCTGGGCCTCGGTTTCCCATTCAGGATGACCTGCCCTCCAGGGCCCCAGGCCTGGAGTAGCAGATGGGGGCCCTGTGTGGGCGGGGCTCACCGGTAAGTACTGCAGGCTCGGTGCCCATCGCAGGTGGTGAGGAAGGGCTGGTACACGCGCTGTGCGAAGGACTCAGACAAGGGGCCCCTGGGGACCCTGATGGCACACACCCTGCGGCTGCAGAGGCAGGGGCAGGGGTCAGCCAGGGGCTCCCAGAGCCGGCATCCTTCCAGCCCTAGAACCCAAGGGAGCGGGAACCTGGGGAAAGGGTTTCCCAGGGTCACCTTGGAAAGGGCGCTCAGCAAACGCCTCAAGGAAGAGCTGCAGCACCCCCAAGCATTAGGGCTGCTCTGGGGAGGCGCCGAGGGCCCCCGGCCACTCACCCGCACTGTCCCGGCACCTAGAGGCCCAACCCTGGCTCACCCAGGCCGGTAGATGTGCTCTGTGCCCCCTGCTGCCAGCACCAGGCACCACAGCAGAAGCAGCTTCCGGGGACCCCACATGGCCCGTGTCTCCTGGCGGGACGGCCTTCTCAAGGTGGCCTGCAGGCAAAGCATGACGCCCCCTTGAGTCTGTGCCCCCAGGAGGCTGTGCCCCTGGCTCCACGGTGCCCACGCAGCCACTCTTCGAGGACCTTCCATCACAGCCTCCTGCCAGGGGGACAGCTCCAACAGTCGGGTGCCAACTCCTCCCCTCCCCAACCTGCTTCACCTTGCGAGGCCAGCCCCTCACCAGCCACAGGCAGCCTGCCCAGGGACCACAGAAGGGCCACAACATCCAGGCCAGGAAGTGGGGCAAGGGGCATCTGGACTCCACTGGCTTTGGAGTCCAGTCTGGATGAGCCCTGACGGCATCCCCGGCTCCTGGAAAGTTCACTTGGGAAGGTGGGGGTCCAGTTTGTACCCTGATCTCAGTCCACAAACGGGGTGTTAGTGAGCAGAGCAGGGACCCAGCCCAGCTGGCTCAGCCATTCTGGCCTTCAGTGTCCCCTCTCCCAAATGGGGAGCCAGCCACGGGGGCAGCAGGGGAGCCCATCCAGGGTTCAGGCACTTGGCATCCAGGAGCCCTGACGGCCATCCTCAGAGCGGGGACCTGCATTTAGAAGGGGGTCACTCCTCCACTGGGGACTGAACCTGTTGGGTCCAGGGCTCCCAGAACAGCAGCCTCACTGGGCACCCACCTGGCGGGGGCAACCAGAGCAGTCCCCCACATGCCAGTGGAGCCAAGCGCCATTCCTGCCCTGGCTGTGGACTGGGACTAGGGAGGCTGAGAGAGGATTCCTGCGAATGTGAGAAACCCTAGCCCAGAATTAATGGTCCGCAACATGCCCTGAGAACTGGAGGGGGGTTCAGTCTTGGTGGGGGGGCTGCTGTCCAAATGTGCATCCTGCTCCATGCTCTGGGTATCCCACCCAAGGCCCCCAAGGGGCCGGGTTCCCCTGAGGTGGGCCGGCCTGGCCCTGCAGGGCCCCCAGCAGGCACAGGAGGAGGCTGAACTTGTGAGTGCTGGGAGCGAAGCGAGGGTAAGGTCATCCCCTTCTCTGGGGCTCAGTTTCTGCAAGGACACTATTAGGGTCTTGGAAGCCCCTCCTCTAGCTCTGATGGTCAGTCCCATAAACAATGACCACTACGAACAATTCTGGAGCCCTCAATGGTGAAGGGGACAGTGATGCCATGCCTAGTCCACACGGTCACTTGACCACTACATCTCATGGCCCTGGGCAGGGTAGGGAGGCAGCTGGAGGAGGCCTGTGATGGGAGGGCAGGGGGTGTTGGGACTTAGTCTGGGGGCAGTGGGGTGCTTTTCAGCAGTTTCTGGGCAGAAGCACATCCTGCCAGTCAGAGCTGGCTTGAGAAGATGCACTCCGGGGGTGGGCCCTGGGTGGAGCACGGAGTTAGGGGGCAGGCCTGACGATCCAGGCAAGAATTGAAAAGGTGGGGACAGGGGCATTGAGAAGGGGCCCTGCGGAGGCAGAAGTGGGTCGGCGGCCTCAGGAGGCTGGCTGGGTAGGCCAGGGCTGCCTGGACCCTGGGCTCACAGCACTGGGCACCTGGGGGACGTTCATCTCATGCAGATGTAAGCCACCCCCGCACCTTCCCCACTTACTGAAGGCTGGAGAGACACTGGTGCCTTAAAAAAAGGAGACTCAATTTTTGAAAGTCATGCTTTTCCCCTAGGCCGGAGGAAGCCGATGGCGCTGCCCAGCCTGTGCTGGGCTGGCAAAATCTCATTTCCCTTTAGGGTTACAGCCCTGCTGGAGCAGGGAGCCAGGGCGGGAGTTGGCTGCCATGACCCCAGGTTGGTCAGCTATAATGTCCGGTGCCCTCCGAATGTCAGCATGAACCATGCCCACCACCTTCCCTGCACCTGCCCGGGCTGCAGCCCCGCAGCCCCTACCCGGGTCCGCAGAGGGGGGTCTCGGCTCCACTGTGGGGCGATGGCCCTGGGCCCCCCTGCCACCAGGAGGGGTGCCCTGGACGTTAGGACCCCGGTGCTTGGGGCAGGCTGGGTGAGACGACAAGTCTGACTCACGGGGATGCGCCCTCTCGGCAGCCCACCCCACGCCTCCCCTTCCCTCGGCACGGCCGGCTCCGCGGGGGGTGGGAGGGAGGGAGGGGTGACACGGGGTCCGGGGCTTCCGAGGCCCTGAGTCAGGCCCAGGAGGACCCGCAGGGCCCGCCAGGCGGCGGAGGGGCCGCGGCGCCCCCACCCCGACCCCCGCGCGGCCCGGCCCGGTCACCCGGCACCGGCAGGGGGCGCCCTTTCCCAGGGCCGCTGGGCCCATTCTCCGGACCCAGCCGCCGGACCAGGGCCCGGGCTGGGGGTCGGGCGCCCGCGCGGCAGCGTCTGCGCCTCTGGCCCGCTCACCTCTCGGCTCCACGCGGTCGCTCCGCGCTCGGCGAGGCCCCGACCCCCGCCCCCAGCCCGAGCGGCGAGCAGTCCCCGCCTCGGCGGCCCCCGCGCCCCCGCCCGGCGCCCCGCTCCTCCGCACTCACCGCCCGCTCCGGGCGCGCACGCGCCGCCGCCGCCGCCGCCGCGCCGAGGGGCCCCGGCCCCGCCCGGCCGCCCGCGCGGCCCCGCCCCG